TTTTTTTGTAAAATGGTGTACTACTCATCCATAAAGAATGAGAAACTAGAGTCATTTATAGCTAAATGGATGCATATTGAGGCCATACTCTTAAGTGAAATAAATAAGACACATGTTTAAATACTGAATAGTTTATCTAGTGTGAGAAACTGAGAGTGTAAATAAGGACTAAAAGGATTAATAACTAATAATTGATACTTTGAAATAGGAAAAGTTCCAAAGGGGTAAGGGTGGTGGGAGGGGAAGGGGAAAGGAAAGAATGGAAAGGAAAAATTATGAGAAAAGAAAAAGAAATGGAAACAAAGTACATAAATAGGGAAGGGTTTGGGGTGAAGGGCACACAGGTAATGGGGAAAAAATAAGAACCAAGATACATCGTGTACAGGTACAAGCACCCAAAGATAAATGTAAATGTGTTGTATACCTAAAATGTACCAATAAAAGAACTTTTTTAGAAAAAGCTTTTCTTGAGAGGGTGAATGTGGATACTTATGATATATTCAGATATTCCTACCACTCGTATTTAGGTATATAAAGGGTTCATTTGAGGGTCTCATAAGTCAAGATAGAAGAGACTTGAATACTTTCAGGGGAGCAAAAGGAGAGATCAGAAACAATAGGTATCTGAAAGACTTCATAACATTAACAGATATTGTTTGTTTCATAGGGGGACATTAACTGAGTTGGGTAAGTTTGTAAATTGTCATATTTTTTGTGCTCAGGAAAGTAGCTATAACTATCAAATAAGAAGCACAATGAAATCATTAGTGAAAATACAGAGGTATATAATGAATATTTGCTAATAAATTTAGGACACAATTAAATTCAAAATTCATATAGTCATTTCCTATAATATAAATTCAACCCAAATATTGCACAGGAGTTGTTATATTGGAAAGTATCGAATTTATTTGAAGCTGAATTGTAACTGCACATCTGACAACCTTATTTCTATTGATATAAAAATTATTATTATTATTATTTTTGGTACCTGGGATCGAACTTGGGACCTTGCACTTGTAAGGCAGGTGACAGAACCACTGAGCTAAATCCCTGGCCCTTAAAACAGTTATCTTAAGACTGTGTGCTAGTCATATTTCTTGACATTCATTGGTGAATGAAACAAGTTTTATCCCTGCTCTGGTGGAAACCCCTTTCTATTGCATATGTTTGAGAGGTGCAATGGAAGGAACATGGGAACAAACAGTAAACAAGCAACTAAACTCCTGAAAACTACTTAGTATTATAACACTAGAAGAGAAGATTATCATGCAATTCTTAGCTTTTGTAATGATGAGCTGCTTGTTTAGAATGGGTAAATGTGATACAGTTTTGTGCAGGTATACTTCCCTCTGCAAAAGGTGACAAGATTATGTGGCATTAACAGGTAATTCAGTGGTTAGACTGAATGTAAGCAATGCTGTGAAAAACAAATATAAAAGAATGCATAAAACTAAGATGTATTTGATCAGAGATGTGAAGGAGTTAAAATACAACTCCAAATTAATAAACAGGCATTATTAGCCTTCATTTTGGGGATTGGGAAAGTGCAAAGATTCTGAGATATTTTTAAAATAGCTACAATGACTAAATTATGCTCAGGATTTGAACCAAGGGAGTTTAAGCTTAAAATGTATACCCTTACCTGTTACATAATTTTGCCTCCTAGAATCCACAGAAATGCCTGTGTTTGGTTCAAAATTTAGCTTCATTGTATACATATTGCTCAAAAGGGTTTTGAAAAATTGGTTGGAAGATGAAGAAATGCAGATTTTAATGTTTCTATATACCAAATTAAATTTTCAGCTTTAGAGCAATTAGAGAGCAACCCTCCACCTCGGCTTGTGAAGACACACCTGCCAACTGATCTTCTTCCTAAATCTTTCTGGGAGAAGAAGTGCAAGGTAAACTCTAAATAGCAAGCTAAATTTCCATGTGACTGTCTTTACTCATTCATACAGTAATGAATAGTTAAATGTTTCATTAATCTGTGAACATGAGAACTAGCTTCAATTAGCACAAGGAAGTGCTTCAATTTAAAAGAAAAGTTTCAATCGAAACTTCCATATTTGAATTTTCCAAACTTGATTACCAATCAGATCCTCATGCCAGCACAATATTGGCACTTTCATTCCTCCACTGTCCCTAGATATTGTGGCCTCTACAAAAACTTAACATAGGGTGTGAGTTCTTATTTGAATGATTGCCAAAACTTAAATGAAACATCTCCATTTGCATGTTTTCTTTTGGGCAGAATTTGAACTTCAATATCATTTTTTTCAGTAATTATAGTGATATTCAGATTATTTCATTTTATCTGACATTTGCTGGTTTATGATAATGTCAGGAATTTTTCCAGTTTGTGAATTTATAAATGTAAATTTCATTTTATGCTCTTCTTATTCTTGTAGTGAAATAGCATTTCGTATAATAGTCCTTGTTTTTTCTTTAAGTATTTGCATTTTTGGGGTGGATTTTTCTAAAATTTTAATTTTTTTTAGAAAAAGAAATCAGTTTATTGCTTCTATTGTTTTCTTGTTTTGATTTTCTTGTGTTTAGTATTGTTTGCTGGTTCATGATTTTGGTTTATTTCACTCTTCCCTTTCTAATTTTTTTTGGTAAACATTTAGTTTGTTGAGTTGACTTCTCCTTCCTAATGTAAGCATGAGGTACTTTACATGTCCTTGTTACAACTGCTTTAGTTGAATGCCATGAAGTTTCAAATGTGCTTTCAATCTGATTTCATTTGTAACTTTCTCTTTTACTATATGATTGTTTTGAAAAATGTTGTTTAATTTCTAGATATTTTAAATTTTTTATATTGCCATTCTCTTGTTGATTTCTAGTTTCATTTCATTTTGGTCAAAGACCATGCACTCTACAATTTTAATTCTTTTAAATTTCTTGTGGTTTACCTTTATCTACCTGGGTGAATGTCTTATGAGTACTTGAGAAGGATGCATAAATTTTCTTTGCAGGTTGGAACATTCTATAAGTTGTGAATAGATTACTTAATTTAATTTATTCTATTTTCTTGTTTAATTTCTTTCTAGTAGTTCAATCAATTGTTGAGGATAGATTCTAAATTTCCTCAACCATAAGTGTTGATTTGTCTATTGGTATTTTAAGCTTTACCAGTTTTGGTGTCATATATTTTGAAACTATATTGTATTGTGTTTGGGATGTAGGATTGTACTATGCTCTTAGTGGATTAATTCTTTTATCATTAAGTAATTTTATTTTCATCTCTAATAATTTTTTTATACTGGTGTACTCTGCCTCCTATTAACATAGCCATTCCTAGTTTTAATAGATTAATGTTTGTATCTTTACTTTCAACCTATCATTGCTATTTTGTTTGAAATGAGTATCTTATAAATAAATATGATACAGTGAAATTGTGCCTCTTTTTCCATTTTGCCAATTTTTATCTTTAAATGCATATATTAATATCATTTTTAGCAATCATTGTCATTTTGTAACTTTTATCTTCTGTGCTATTTTTGTTCCTTTGTTTTCTTAGTGCCTTCTCTAGGAATTACCATTAGCATATATAACATCACAGATTATTGGTGCCAACATTTTACTTCAAATAAAGTATAGATATCTTACTTCAATTTAGATCTCTTACTCTTCCCATATCTTAATTATCATAAACTTAAATGATTCCTGTATATAAAGCACCTTATCAGATAGTGGTATAAGTTTTACTTCAACTGAAAAATACGAATAAACTCATTAGGTTGAATAATTTATGATGTTTACTTCTAGTTTTACCCACAGTCTTGTTCTTTTTTCTTTCTGAAATTTTCATCTGTGTGCTGTTACTTTCTTTTTCTTTAGACTTTTCCATTAGCCATTCCTTATGGCAGGTCTGACACTAATACCTTTGATTAATTTTCCTTTTTATGAGACTGGAATGACTTTATTTTCCTTCTTGCATAAAGGGATAGCTATAGGATTTGGGTTTGATAATATTTTACTTTCTGTTCTTCCTTTTTATGTATGACCCTAAATGAGAAATTGTATTTCAAATTGATGATCCTAAATTTGGGACACATTGCATCCCTCTGGTTGATTTTTTATTTGTTTTTGGTTTTCAGAAGTTTTTAGAGTGTGTCTTGATGTAACTTTGTTTTGATTTTTCCTTTTGGGAATTCACTCAGATTCTTGGATATATAAATTTATTTTTTGACAAATTGGAAATTCTTAGCCATTACTTCTCCAAATTCTTTTTCTTCAGTTATTCTGGGATTCCAAGTGAAGCTTGTCACAGTGTGCAATTGCAGGCAGTGAGGAGGATGAAAAGATTCCTCAGAGATAAAACTAAGTTCAGCCTACCCAGAGGCTCAGAGGGCCTGTTTCTCCACCAAAAGCACCCACCCATTAGGGAGACTCTGGGAGAAGAAAAAGCCACCAAGCCTAGTGCTCTCTGGTTTTTACTTAGAATCTCAGTATGAGAGAAAAAAGCAGGAGAAAAGCAGTTTGGGCCAGGAGCTGTCTCAGGACTAAGCACTTTTGCTTGGGGAGAGGGGAAGGACACGTCCAGACACAACATACTTTACTAATCTAAACTTCTTCCTGTTTAACCATTTGATTCTAACACAGCCTGTGTGCTTTTCACTATGCAATTCGATTATGTATTCTCACAGAGCCTGTGTGCCTTTTGTGTTACAGTTTAATTATTTGTGTGCTTTTGCCCCATATTTTAACCATTGATTCTTCATACAGCCTAGGTGCTTCTGTTCTGCAGATTAATCATTCAGTTTAATCATTCACTCCTGGCCAGGTCCCACACAAAAGCTAGATTTTTTTTTTTGGCCCACATGTTCCTAACTCTGTTTATTCTTCTTTAGTCTATTTTCTCTTTGTTGCTTGTATTAAGTAAAGGGTAATTTATTTTCAGATTCACTGATTTGAGCCTCTATTACTGACACTACATTTTGACTTAATCTTTCCTTTGTTATTATACATTGTAAAACTATAATTTATATACATACACACAACTTTCCAAAGATATTTATATTTTCACATTTGTTTCAAGGAAATTTTTAATTGAATATCAAAACTTCTTTATAACAGTTGCTGTAGTGTTTTTTCATAAAATGTAACATTTAATTCCTCTCAGTGTTGGTGTCTGTCAATTAACTTTTCACATTCAAATTATGGTTTTCCTAGGTTTTGGTATGATGGATATTTTGGTTATGAAGTTAGAGACTCTTAATCCTATGTACATCATTGTCTTAGTCATTCTTTCATCAGTGGGACAGAGTATCCAACACCTGAAATTTAAAGAAGGAGAAGTTTTTTGGCCCACAATCTCAATAGGCTCATTTTGTGGCAGGCTGACTCCAGGACAAAAATGACATGGTTGAAATGCAGATTGGAAGAAAGCTGCCTACCTCATGGCAACCAGGAAGAAGAGAGACAAAGGAAGAGTAAAGGACAAGAATACACCCTTCTAGGTTATGCTTCAAGTGACCCACCTCCAACCAGGCCCCACCTCCTAATAGCATATTCAGCTGCTTGACTTACCAGATGAACATACTGATGCATACAATGCCTCCATGGTCCAATCACCTCTAAAACAATGAGGCTTTGGAGAACATTATTGATCAACACAAGTTCCCTGTTTTTAACTTGTAGTAGTAACCCCACCCACCCAGCATCACGATTTTGTACTTTTTAATTTGATTAGAATTCTCTTTAATCAGTCATAGTGTCATCTTCTTGATAATATATTTCATTCTGGGAGACTCTGCTTCTTCCTGAAGCTGTGGTGACATTTTTTTCACCTTAGTCCATTTTTTTCCCCTCAATTCTTTGTTTGTAATCTGACAAAAGCATTGACCTATGTCTGTGTTGCTAATAGATATTCATAATCCACAATTTTTAAATGAAAATGTACTCTACTACTTCACGTATCTACATAATTTGTTTTTTCCTTACTAAAACTGATTCTATTGATTTTCTTCCTCTTCCTCCTTCAGATGATGTATATGGCTCGAAATGCCAAGGATGTTGCTATCTCATATTACCACTTTGATTTAATGAATCATTTACATCCTGATCCTGGCACCTGGAAAGAATATTTGGAGAAATTCTTAACGGGAAATGGTAGGTAGACCTCAGTTTAAAATTAATGAGTAAAACTTTTATATTTAATAATTCTATTAACCATTACAAGCCTGAGTGTCAAAATACTTCTTTTTAAATTCTTTTATTGGTACATTTTAGGTATACAATACATTTACATTTCTCACTGGGAACTTGAGCCTTTACATGATGCATCTTGCTTCTTATTTTTTCCCCATTTCCAGCCCTCCCTCCACCCCCTCCACCCTTCTCTATTCACAAAGACTTTGTTTCCTATTTTTCCATTTCTCTTATTTTTTCCTTACCTTCTTGCCTTTCCCCTAAAATACTTCTTTTTTAAGTTAGTGCATTCGAGTATGGTAAAAGAACATTCAAATCTCATTTTTAAAATTTAAGTAAAATATATCTATTATTTTACCAAACTGTTCAGTTTACAAGACTGATGTTAACTTTTGGCATAAAGAGTGCATTCTGGGATCCATTCTCAATTGCTAGAATTCCATTCTCAGTCTCTGTTCATTTATACTGCTTTATGTGCCCAAATCATTAGTTAGATATATTACAAACACATTGTATTTATAGTATTTACATATATAATTTATATGAATACTTTATCAGGTTAATTTTCTTCCATGTGAGGCTGAGTAGGACTTATGGGTAGTCAGAGTATTTTTATTTGAAATGCTTTCTTTGTACTTTATTTTTTAAAAAATGTGTTTTTAGCATATAAAAATGGCTAATCTTATATTTTAAAAATTCATCCTGTTCCCTTTATTATCAAATTCTACAAAAAAATCTTTACACATTGACTTATTTTTCACAAATACATCTTTGATTTGCAAAAACTCATGTGGAAATAAACTTTTTTCTCTGGTTTTAGTGCCCTATGGTTCTTGGTTTAACCATGTCAAAAAGTGGTGGAAGAGAAAAGAAGAACACCCAATACTTTTCTTGTTCTATGAAGACATGAAACAGGTAAAATGATAGACATTTACTCTGCATACTACCCTTACTATGTCCTTAGATAAAAGGATTAACATTATTTCTCCACAGTCCATAGAACCAAAATGATATGATTGCTTCCTTATCCTCCATGACTACTTCTCTGCATTAGATAAGATCATTAATGATTTTCTAATTGTGAAATATATGAATCATTTTCATTCCTCTTGTCCCTTAATCATTGTATTTTATTTGACCAGCCTTTCTTCTTTAATTCCTCTCTTAATTTGCCAGGATTTTATAATTGGATAATTCTTTGGCTGTCTATCCATCCACTAATATTTTGAATAATTAGCTATATTTTGGCTATCATGTCCATGCCCATTGTTTCCACAAATATTTATATAATAATAATATACATCTTTATTGGGGCCTCTATGCAAAATTTCAAACCTATTCACATACTCTTTTAACTTTATTTAACCTGTTCAAAACAAAAATTTAAGTTGCTTCTCCCTCTTCAAAATGTAGTACTTTTCTCCTTCTATTCTCTTGCTTGAGTAATGATTTTATTTTTCTTTTCAGTTTTCAAAGCTTAAAAATAGGTTGTCCTTCTTGGCTTTCTTTCCTATATCCTGGACACCCAGTTGGCTCACATATTTTATTCATTGTATTTCTGAAATGGGTCTCTTCCTTTACTTTCTCCCTATCTCTCTCCTAGCTCAGGGACTAATAATCATCCATCTAGTCTTCTGTAGGAAGTAGTGTTAATTCAGTACTACTAGAAAGTTCCAGCACTATTTTGGGACTATTCTACTTAAGTGGGTCACACATACACACACACACACACACACACACACAGACATGCACACACATGCATGTATCCACACATACACCAATCTTGGGAAATATGTAGAAACCAGTTCATTTAGTTGTAAAACACCTGTACATAGAAATCTACTTTTTATACTTTCAGATTCTCACAGGGAAGTATAAACTGTCATCTTTGTAACTATGACTCTAGTACCTAATACATATATTTAAGTGCCTACCACATAAAGAGAACATTGGTTGCTCGGTGTGGGAATCATTTATTGCTTCAGTGAATGATTTGTAATAACAAAAATTTCAGTGGCATCAGAAATTATGTGTAATTTCATAACATAGAAATTATATTCCATGTGTGAAACCTCTTGCTTGAAGCATATCAGAATAACAGAGAAAATTTATAGTATACAAGAGTATAATTCAGAAAATGTCTAATAATTTTTAACACATGTATGAGTGACTACATAAATTCTCAATAAATGAGATGAAAGGGAAAAACAGAAGAAGACTGAATGAGAATCAGGACTATATGATTTAACTTCTGTTTGTGTCTGCATTAGCATTATAATCCTAAATCAGCCAGATTATTCTCTGTGCTTGACATTGTTAACAAAAATATTTTTTCTGTGATTGCATATATATGTTTTCCTAATATGACTATTACCTTGTTTTTGAACTTTCTTCATTACTCATTCTAACCACCAAAAGAACATTGGCACTGCCTTATTTTTGTATTGCTGAGGGCTGACATGCAGCTTTCCTTGGAGAGAGTCCCTTCAAGCACACAGATATGTAAATATGCACATGAGAACACACACATTTCACATGTTGTTTCTTCCCCACTCTGTTAGTCACCAGAAGATATTCTCAGTTTGGCCCCAACTCACAGACTGCAAATGCTGTGTAAATTTTTGCCTAATGTTAGTGATTTACATGTTTCTGTAGGGAACAGGGAAAGGGGATGTTACTAGAACCTCTGCAGTAAGTCCTAGTCTCCTGTGAGCAATGGCAATACATAGCGAATTACAGGAAAGGTAGAAAAATGAGACTGAGAAGAAGCTGAGCTTTGGGTCTGATCAGTGCTTCTCTGCGTGGCAAAGAAGAAGGCCCCCAGTTTACTGGACCTTTTATTTAGTACGTCAAGAGAAACAAATGTATCAAATGACCTGCAGAGAGTTCAGTTCATCCTGCATAAACAAGATGTAACAATCCAAGAACAATGAGGAACTGAGTAGATGTTTGTTCCTCCCAGGATGTTTTCAGCTGGTGTATTCTTGTCCTGGAGAATCACAGCATCACTGGATCATCGAGGTCTCAGTTGTGACCAGAGGCCAAAATGGAATTATGTCTTAGAATTCCATAGCTGGGTTGTAGGCAGGAGAACTAGGCTAACCAAATGATTTTACCCTAAAATTATGTAGCATTGTTTCCCATAGTTCACCATATTCTTGGATATATCTTTTAATCCACTGATAGAATCCAAAGGAAGAAATCAGGAAGATTGCTAGATTTTTAGACAAGAACTTAAATGATGATATCATTGACAAGATAATTCACCACACCTCTTTTGAAATGATGAAGAACAACCCTCTGGTGAATTACACACATTTGCCAAGTACGGTGATGGATCACAGCAAATCCCCTTTCATGCGCAAAGGTAAATACTTAGCTCTAGTTAATTTTACATTTTAATTTTGTGAAAGATTCAATCTGGACTCTGCTGTATTACTTAGCCTGTACAGGCTTCAATTTTTCATGGGTAAAAAGTAAACACTAAAAAATAGACTGCCACTAAAAGTTGTGAATTAGATTTGATATCATTGAATGAAATAATGCATATAAAAGTGTTAGAATATCTTAAATACTTGATAAACATTTCTTCTATGTGCTATCCTGCAATTTTGACAATTGTGATGTAATTCCAAGTTTGTCATTATTATTCTCTTAAAATTGGCAAATTGGTATAGGATGCCTTTCCCTCCTCAGGAATAATGCCCAGTACAGTACTGAATTCAGTCCCCATGTCATTGAGAAAATAAAGGTCATTTCACAAAGACAATTTCCCAAAAGAAAGAACATTTTCTCCTTATTATCCTAAAAGTAGGTTTTGCTCCCTCCAGATACTGTTGAATTACAGGAAACAGATTCAGCCCCAATTTAACTTAGAAGAATATGAAATTCACTGCTGAGTACAACTTTACTCCCATTTAAGCAAATCTTGTATATTATGGTTTATTATATATGGTAATATCATATTGTTATTAATAAAAGAACACATTTAACAAATTAACTTATACAAATTTGCGAAGTTATACACCTATCAACACTACCCTCTATTTTCAATATTATTTTTAAAATGTGACATAAAATAATTTAAGTTATTGTACTGTAAAATGTGCTAGAATGTGCTGTGCAAGTGAATAGGTGGATCAAAATCATCAATTTAAAAATAATTATATGAGGAAATGTTTTTTTAAAGTAACATTACTTTATAAATGTTTTTGTGTTTTCAAATTATTATTTTACTCAAAAAGTCTACATTTAATTTTTTTAAAGTGGCCTTTATTTGAAAGAAGGTAAATTTTTATTTTAAATACATCATAAATTGGAGCAAGCTGTTTTCAATTTATAGACACACATATAATGTGTGCAGATAAATTTATACACATATACATATACATGCTTATGCTACAATAGTTTTAAAAATTTTTATTCAACAAGGCAAATTTTTCATTGTGCTAGATAACTGAATATAATTTCCTGGAGTTTTCTTTCTTTTTTTTTTTTTTTACTGCTAATTATCCTGAAATGGATTCCATCCCATGATACTTCATTGAGGCATAGCTATAAAGGAGATAAACTCAGCATTTTTTCAATAGAAAATAATGTATTCTGGTTCTGGTACTGAGGGGAGTCTTCACATCCCCATTGGGAAGGAAAACGAATGTATCTTTGTGGGTAGGTTGAGGTTTATCCAAGGTATTCCTCTATCCAGATAGATGATATTTAATAAATTAATTAACTTCCTAAAGCTCTTTGCCTCACTGACCAAATGAGGAAAATAGTATCATTTATAGCACAAGTTTTTGGGAGAAAATTCTAATAAATGATGCTTAACATTTGGAATATTTTTGGCCATAATATATACAGGATTAATAAACTTTATTCTAAATAGTTCAAGATTCATCTGTTCATTCATTCAAACATTCATATTTTTGATAAATATTTAAAGAGTGCACATTCATTTGATAATTCACATCTACAAAATCTCTTCACCAATACTGTTCAGAAAGGAAGTTATAGGTAGGAAAAAGAATAAAATAGGGCCTCATTAAGCTTTAATTAAAAAATCAATAGGAAATCTTACTAATGGCAGTTTTTGCCTCTGCAGTTAGACTCCAGAAATTAGAAAGACAAAGTTAAAGACAAAGAGAGAATTCAGACCTGGGGAAGGAGCCAGGTAACATAATTCACATACAAATTTAGCAGCAAGAGTGGACAGGCAAAACAAGGATGTGATCAGGAACATGAAAGACAAAGGTAACCAGCCCCCTTCACCTGATAAAATGTAAAGGGTCAAGGAGTGGCTACCTAAAAACTCTTATTTTGCACACAAGCCTATACATTTATACATACATGAATAGTCTCACTGTAGGGTCATATATTACTGCACCACACATACACTTTACCTAATTTCTAATACATCCACACACATTTATCTATCACAAAAGGGGAGGAAGGAATCAAAGGACCAAAGAGAATGTAGCCAAATGTGCCCAGGTGAGAGTCAAAGATGCCAGAGAGCCAATCAGATTTTTACAAGTTCTAGGTCCCCAGTGTGGGGCAAGGACACCAGTCTTAATAAAAGGAAGCTGAAGAGAAAAGCCCAAGGGTATGTTTCTTTCCTATGTCCCATACTCTTCCAGAGTAGCTGTCTTCACTTTTCCCTCTCCCTCTTCTTTAGATAAATTGTCTTCCTTTATGTTAAACTTGGTTCCTTTAAGTTTTCACTGGCTCTGAGTTTTAAGATCCCAGTAAACTGCATGTTCCAGCAGAGCAGTGGTGCCAAGTACACCCCCTTACAAACACTGTATGTAACACATACGGTTTAGAAGAAAAATAAATGACACATACTTTTGCCTCAAGAACACAAAGTAGTGCAAGAGGCATATATACAAATGAATATTGAAAAGAGCTGAACATAAAGGAGAGCAAAGTTGTCAGGCACATGCAGGCTTGAAAGATGTTATGTTAATTAAATCAGAGTTATCACTTCTGGTGTCGCTGTGCTGGTCTGCTGGTCTCAGACTGAAATAACAAACTTCTCCTACCTTTATAGAATAAACTTGCAGGTTCACTGACTTCCATCGTGATAAAAGAATTTTTAGGATGTGTCAGTAAGAAACATGAAAAGTGTTTATTGGACAGATTTTAGCATGCATTCGGTAGTGGAGTGTGGGCACTCAGGTATGAGACACATTTTGATCTCATGTGGGGTGTATTTAGGGGATGTCTCCAAGATGAGTGATTGAGATATGTATTTTTACTGTCTGTCAGGTTACCTATCTGGCAGGTCATGTCTAAGGGCAAACTATTTAGAGGTGTTGGAAGTTGAAATATGCTGATCACTAATATTGCTGCTTGCTTGAGGGAGTAGGAAGTGGAACTTACAGATGAAAAAGATAGGTCCAGAGCCCAATTTACAGGGGTTTTGTGTCTTTAAGACTTTTGAAAATTTTTTGCATGAGTTTTCTGGAGTGGAAAAAGCTTGGGTAACTTTAGAGTCTTGAAGATGCATGAAGTTAAGTACAATTTTAAAATCTTGATTTCCTTGTCTTCTATTTATCTAGTTTTAATTTTTTTCTATCCCATAAGCAAAATAGAGAAGGAATAAATGATATTCAATGTTTATATAGTACCTCTATCTTGAATTGCTACAAAACAAATTCAGACTGGTTTGCATTCATTTTATCAAAAGTTTCTTGTGAAGCAAATGTGCTGATAAATATTGTATAATTTACTCACAGATAAGCAGGTGATTAGAATGTTTTTATATAACTTTTTCTTGCTTATATTGTATTCTGTTGTTTTAAATAAGATTCTTAGATATACACTACTCCAAATGCAGTTTTGCTGATCCTCACATAAATTTGAGAGAACTACTGTCATCTGGTAAAGGTACAAATAATTATAATGACCAAGAAGATATTCTTGCATATGGGAATACTTTTGATTTAAAGGACATAGTTTTATCAAACCATAATGAGTTTACATAGTTTATAATATAATAAGATATGTTCATATTTCATAAAGTGATAATATTTAACAACAACCCAAGTATGAGGTATTAATATCTTCAAATTTTTGCTTAAAAAGATGACTTGGTGATATTAAATGTTTTATTTTAATATTACTCTTCTCACCTGAGCTATAAGTAAGCACAAACTTAGTGATTCAAAGGTACACAAGTGTCTTCCAAGCATTGTTGTGCTGGGCTGTAAAGTGTGGCAACCACAGCAGTTCTACAGCTCTTCTGGATTGCGGTCAGTTTTTCCTCATGTCTCGGAAAGCAGCTCAGGAAACAGAAGGCATCCTAATCATTCATAAAGGGTTTCAGTGATGACCCAGGAAGCCAGGGCATCTAGGAAAGTAGGGTCTTTCTCTCAGGAACTGTTGTACTCTCCATGATGTCAGATCAGAAAATTAGATTTTTCTCGGAATGTCTCTTTACAAGGTGGACTCTATGTTCAGCTCTAATATATTTTAATAATTTTAATAATGACAGAAAATACCCAGTTTTTTAAACAATGAAGGTTTAATGTGCTCAAATACAAGCAGTCTTTCCTTAAGTCTCCTTACCTTTCAATTGTTATATGCTAGCTATTCTTTCATAACGCTAATATTTTATTCTTTTATATGTTTTCTTATTGTTTTTAGGAATTATTGGTGACTGGAAAAATTACTTCACAGTGGCCCAAAATGAGAAATTTGATGCCATTTATAAGAAGGAAATGGCTGAAACTATACTTCAGTTCTGCACAGAGATTTAAAGTGCCTTAATTGTGACTTGAAGAAAGAAAAGATAACTGCATTTTATCAACACAGGGTAGTTTTGACCTGACTGGTGAATAATCAAGTAGATTTACAAAGGAGAAAAATGAGCTTTAAAGCTCTGATTTTTCCATGTTGTCCATAAGGTCTCAGTTCTTTTTTTCCCTCTGGGCCTGGAAATCCAAATTTCTGAAAGCTAAGGATCATTGTTACCTTTTTTTAGTGTACTTTTCTCTTGGCTAGAGTAGGCCTGACAGAGAAAGCGCAACTCTTTTTGCTCAATCTCCTGTATGCTGTAATTTAAAGTTATGTTCCGTCCCTGTTCACATCATGTGAGAAGTGCTGTTTCCAAGCTGACACTGTGTTTCCTAGCTCTGCCCAGCTTCCCTGAGCTGAATACTTGACCCTGAACACTGGCCTCCTTGCTTTCTGCTGGGTTTCAAGCTGTTCCCTGAGTTACAGCTTATCTTTCCCCTGTGGCTTATGTTTGGACAACACAGTTCAAGTCCCAGATTTTGTGGCTGAGATTTTGGAAATGTTTTTCTATACCTGCCACACATCTAATTTCCCAAATGGCCTAGCGCTATTTATTCTGTCTAGAGTTCAGGAGAGTGGAGCATGTCTCTGAAAGCCTGCCCTGAGCTCTGGGGCCTCTTGCTATAGAGAGATCATGGACCTTTTGAAATTCAGAGGATCATCTATTGCTGTGATCTGGTCACTTTCCTGTTATTTCTGAACAGATTTACATCTCTTTATAGAACCTCCAATACCAAGATAAAATTACAGCTACTGCTGAAAATTTAAAGACAAGTTGCTTTCATAAGACAAGAACAAACCTTTTGATGTAAGGTCCATTCATGTCTTTCAGTTTCAACCCACCTTTTCTCTAAAAGATATGTTTAGACCTCTTTATACCTTTCTTATCTAAAGCTGAAAGCCTTCTGTAGGCCAGAGAAGAACAGTATTGGTGGAATTGCAACTTTGGAACCTTAAACACATAATTTGAAACACAATACAGGTGCTTTATGAAGATCTACAAAGTGCTAATTGTTCAAGGAAACAGACATTCTTTAGATAGTCACACTTGCTGCATAGACCCTTTTTCCATATCCTCAGCCCTCATAAAAGCTCCACCTCTCACCATGATTGTTGGATTCCTCCAATTTCTCTCTTGGGAACTTCCCTTGGCAGCACATCCTGATCTAAATAAATTTTTATCTTCTCTGCATTCCTTGGTTATTGGTAAAGTTCTTTTTACTACCTGTGTCACCAGCCCTCCATAAGCTGTCTCTCTTGATGATCATTTACTGTGATATTCAAATGTCAGCACCCTGACTTCCTCATTCCTCAGCATCCTCTCACCACCACACAGTGTCTCCTATTGTCACTGTACAGGGTTCCAGGGAGATCCCCAAAGGGGAAATGGGAAACTTCACTCACTCTGCCCCCAGAATAAGTTGTAAATTCACTGACTTCCATCACAGAAAAGGAAATTTTCAGACATATCAGTGAAAGACATGTTATTAGGCAGGATTTAAAAACTACACATTCATAGTATGCACCATCAAAAGAAAAGCACATAATGGTTTGAGGTTTTTGTGTGGTCTTCTTACCAACCATTTAGATTCATAAGCTCAGGTTCATTTGCTTGCCACTGACCAAATCAAAGGATGTCATATATTTTGGTAAAAAAGAAAAAGTTTATTGAAAGTTGTCTCCCTGGAGATAGAGGAGCCCATTTGCCTCAAATCTCCCTGGAGAAGGGAAGCACAGAGCGATAATATAGATCCCCACTCTTGTTTTTTCACTTCTAGACATCTTAGCTCACTATCCCCTTTCTTGAGGAAAATAAAAAACAGGCTCCAGCCTCATAGGGTCTGCACTGTACATTCTGTCACATTTGAGGACTGAAGAGAGAGGAGGTGTTGATAATATGCTCAGCAGGAGGAACTTTGGAGAAGTTGCTTATCTTAAAAGAAAAAACTAACTTTTAATGTTTCATTTTGCAGTGTTGGTTTAAGTCTTAGAGGTATCCTCAGGAAAACTAGCAAGATAGCTGAACTAGGATGCACATTTCTATTGTCTATCAGGTTAAAACAAAATAATCTCATCCTAATTTTTTTCTTACTGAAATGCCATTATTGTAGAACACAGTTTATTTAGCTTATAGCAAGGGAAATGGCCTGAGATAGAGGTGGGTAATCAGCAATACTAATGGAGTTTTAAATAAGAATAGTGAACAAGGACTTTGGACCAAGAATGAACTCCATCAGGTAACATGGAATGCAGCCAATACTGTACAGCCATAGTTAATCATTTAACCAGCAGCTTCTTAAGCCATTATGTATTGTAACTGGCTGTTATTTTGACATTTTATATCTGCTTCTTGGGGCTATTTAATTTTCTACCCTGAAAATATACAGGCTTAAATATCTTAGAGTAAGGTGAAACCAAAATTCAGTTTCTCTTTTATTAGTTAGTAACTCCTCACATTGGTTTTTGCGCATAAAAAAGGGCTAAATTACTAAAGGATTGGAGATCAAACTAAACCACAAGCAATGGGACTAGAAGGTAAGAGCACAGACGTAAAAGAGTCTTTCTGGAACTGGTTTCTACCAGCTTAACTAAGTATTCTGGGACCTAGGGTAAGTAATGACCTTTTTGTGCCCCAATTCTTTGTCTGTAAAATGAAGGTATCATGATGTATTAGCTGCCATGAAGGAAGTCACTATTAAAAAGGGTGACATTTCTTCTCACTGTGCAATGCTGACAGGTGCTCAGGTGCTTCATGGAGGTTGGCTGGGTGACCTATTTCTGCTTTGGCTCTCATGCAGAGAAGCTGGTCTGAACTGCAGAACAGGGTTTTGGAGGATGGACCCTGCATGCAGGTGAGGAGGTAGGCCTTCCTTTCAAGTGCATTCAGCTCACTGACTGCATCCTCAGATTTCCACACAGTGCCTGTCAGAAGTGTGTGCCATACAAGATGGGCCAAGAAGATGGAAGCCAAGAGAAAGAAAGGGGTTGATGACAGATGTTGTTCATACATCCTTCACTGATGTGGAAAATAAGGAAGTGGATAATGAAGAATGAAGTTGAGAACCTCCAAAGGGGAGCCTTCATAAAATGTTCTCCCACAAAAGCCCCAGTGGTAAAGCTCAACTTGGAGCTGCTGCTGTTACCAGGGGACGTGAATGCTAAAATTCCAGCAAAAAAGATGACTGCATAAGAAGTCTCCAGACCAGAAGGCACCCTACCAAAAGACATCAGGCAAGAAAGGATGAAGCTGTTACAAAAGGAATAAAGTTTGTGACATGTTAGCAAAAAAAAAAAGTTAAAACTGTATTTAGCTATGTGGGCTTGAAGCATCAAATTTCTTCTTCCTTATTGTTAACTGGCTTCAAAATACCAAATGTTAATTTTTCTTTTGTTGTTTCCTTCCACATTTAATTTTCCAAATGAGTTGCCCATTCCTGTGAGTATTGCCTTTCTCATCACTGGGACAAAGTAGCCAACAAAATTTAAAGAAGAAGAAGAAGTTCATATAATTTGAAGTTTCCAGTGTGTTCAGTCCATGGATGTCTAGCTAGAAGGCAGAAACAGCATGATGGTAGGGCCTGATGAAGGAAAGCTGCTCAGCCTATTGCAGCCAAGAAGCAGAGAGACAGAGAAGGAAGGGAGAAGCCAAGGATAGGAATGAACCCTTCTAGATCATACCCACAGTGACCCACTTTCAACCAGGTCTGACCTCCTAATACCTTATTCAGCCACGAATATATCAACAGATTAATTCTCTGATGAGTATAACATCCCCCATGATCTAATTACCTTCTCAAACACATGAGAATTTTGGGGGATATTTGAGGTTTAAATAATAACACTATGTTAGACATTTCTGTCCAGTACTAAATATTTTCAGTGGAAGGCAATGATCATCATTCAAATAAAAGCACAGGAAGTTTGTATAGATTCTAATAACAATACAAATGACACACAAGAAATAATAATCCAAACTTTGACAAACTATAAAGAAAATTTAACCCTATTTGTAGTCAATCCATATAGGTGGATTAAAATTTCTCAGAATTAATTTTATTATGTGAGGTCTTTATTTTTAAAATGTAACATTAGCTATTTTGCATTTCCACTAATATTCTAAGAATAGTATTTTGCAGTCATCTTGGTTTCACTTGGGAAATGTTATACATCTGACTTTTTCAAAAACTTCCAGTGAATATCAGAAAATCATTTTTAAAAGAATATGAAAATATTATATCATAATTTTGGGTCCTTACAGTGATTATGAGTTTGTTGGTCAGAGTTTGGAAAATGATTAATCATAAATGGCACTGATCTCTTACTTTATTATCTTAGCTATGAGACATGGTTATTTTTCTCTTTAACTACTGTCTTTTCCCATCAGATTACAACAAATATGATTTTCTAAATAACTACAGAATGGGATAATAAAATAAAAAGTGTCAATTGTGTCATTTAACATTAAACAAAATGATATGTGAAATAATGTACAATTATATTTGTTTTTATTGCCATTTTATTGATAACTCATTAAATATTAGAAAATCTTATATAGCTAGTACTACCACCTACTTAAAGTGAGCAGAGGCTTGAAATGGAATTCAAATTGTTTTAAATTGTTATATATAAAATTATATATAAATTAGCTCCTTTAGGTAGCAGGTTATCTGCCAATACATTGTCATTGTAACAAGTAAGTAATGGAGCCCAAAGGTTTCAATAGGTCTTCACTTTCAGAGCCGTGCTGCTAGATTTATGAATGCTTTTTCCTTCATAAACTACAAATCTGTCATAATTGGTGCATATTTATAGTTTTCCAATATATGTTACTTATTAAAGGATATAAATTTTACAAAATATTTGGTTACTTTGTGGCATTTTTACACATAAATATAACATAGTTTGATTGTATCCATACTCCAGTTATTATTCCTTACATCCTCCAGTCCCTCTCCTTGATCAC